GTTTAATTATGGCTGTATCGTGATTACAAGGAAAAGAGAAATTTAATGATAACATTATCTCTCATCACTCTCTTTCTTTTTCTGTTCCACTCTGCCCTCTTCCTGTCCTTAGAAGGTGAGATACAGTTCTAGAATTTTTATTGAAGATATTATCCATTTGCTTTGGACAAATATGCCTAATGTCTATGGGAAGAACTGGACACCCACCAGGCTAGCTTGCTTTTCACTCATTTTTATGGAAAAATGGGTTGCATTTGCTTCCTGTCTGTGATGCAGCTCTAAGTGAGACCCAAGTTTAAGAATTTTATGCGGTATTTAAGATGTATATGTTTTCCTGCATCTTTCATCTGATGTTAAATCATCATGTATTTTCAGCTTATAAGAGTTACATATTATTTGTTGTTGAGTGCTAGTAGATATGAATATGAAGATGTGATTGCAGTTTGAAGAGCAGTTGATTCATTGGTTGCATAATTTGAAGATTTAATGTTACTCTACCTCCAGTCTATCTTAATTTACAAGGCAAAGATGTGGATTTGCATCTCGTGTTTAACCTTTTGGCCCAAAATATGGGAATTGGGCTTCCTTGACGGGAGAGTCCTACGTTTGTGGCTTGTAGATCCAGCCAATGCGAACGCTCGTCTGTGGCATCAAGTTTCTTTGGTTCCCCTGTGCAAAGTTACATTTTTTTCTGCATAAGCATCTTTGCTCTTCTCCCATTTTCCAAAGTCTATGTTTGTCATTTGATAGGGGGTATCAAGATGATAACAGACTATTTTCCTTGCATATCATCTTTCTAAGTAGTCTACAGTTCTGCATTATCAATAACAATAAGTAATGTGTTATTAGTTTTGTAATTTTTTAATGTTTTGGTATTATTCAGTTTTATGTACTACACTCTCCTAATTATGGCAGGCATTATTAATAGGATCCTGAGTATAGAAATAGTGTCCTCTAGGAGCTGTTGCTCTTCCAGCATGGCACATCCTAGCCTCCTTTACCAATGAAAATAATGCAAGAGCCCTATCCTAAATACTAAGTTTAATCTTCAAGAAAATAATACACATATGGTGAGTCATTTAAGACACCCAGGCCTTCAGTTAGATTTTTCATGATGAAACAGCCAGCCAAATTTTACTATAACTTCATAATCCCATCACCAGGCCCTCAACCGAATTTTTTCATGATGTGACCGTCAAATCAACCGGATCCAGAGGTTTAATGGAAATAGCCAACTAGTTTTCTTTTGGGAAGGACTGCATACAAAATTAATTTACGTAAAAATAATATGAATTAATAATTGTTGAAAAGAAATAGAATAGAAATAGAGGAGAAGTTTAGTAAGAGAAAATTTAATATACTAATCTTTTTGGTAGAAGCTTTATAAATGTAACAATGGTTTGATATATATATTTTACAAATATAGTTTTGGTTTAATTTTTATGTAATCTGTACAGTTGTTTAGCAGGTTTAAATATTTTGGTTGATTTCTAGTTTGCAGTGAGTTTAATTATGGCTGCATCGTGATTAAAAGGAAAAGAGAAATTTAATGATAACATTATCTCTGGCTCATCACTCTCTTTCTTTTTCTGTTCCACTCTGCCCTCTTCCTGTCCTTAGAAGGTGAGATACAGTTCTAGAATTTTTATTGAAGATATTATCCATTTGCTTTGGACAAATATGCCTAATGTCTATGGGAAGAACTGGACACCCACCAGGCTAGCTTGCTTTTCACTCATTTTTATGGAAAAATGGGTTGCATTTGCTTCCTGTCTGTGATGCAGCTCTAAGTGAGACCTAAGTTTAAGAATTTTATGCGGTATTTAAGATGTATATGTTTTCCTGCATCTTTCATCTGATGTTAAATCATCATGTATTTTCAGCTTATAAGAGTTACATATTATTTGTTGTTGAGTGCTAGTAGATATGAATATGAAAATGTGATTGCAGTTTGAAGAGCAGATGATTCATTGGTTGCATAATTTGAAGATTTCATGTTACTCTACCTCTAGTCTATCTTAATTTACAAGGCAAAAATGTTGATTTGTGGCTGTTGTGTTTAACCTTTTGGCCCAAAATTTTGGAATTAGGCCTACTTGATGGGACAGTCCTAGGTTTATGGCTTGTAGACCCAGCCAACATGAACGCTCGTCTGTGGTGTCAAGACTCTTTGATGCCCCTGTGCAAAGTAACGTTTTTTTCTACATTAGCATTTTTTGTTTTTTTCCCATTTTCCAAGGTCTATGTTTGTCATTTGATAGGGGGTATTAAGATGATAGATAACAGACTATTTTCCTTGCACATCATCTCTCTAAGTAGTCTACAGCTCTGCATTATCAATAACAATAAGTAATGTGTTATTAGTATTGTAATTTTTTTATGTTTTTGTATTATTCAGTTTAATGTAACACACCATGCATTGTTAATTATGGCAGGCATTAATAGGATCCTGAGCATAGAAATAGTGTCCCCCAGGAGCTGTTGCTCTTCCAGCATGGCACATTCCAGCCTTCTTTACCAGTAAAAATAATGCAAGAGCCCCATCCTAAATACTAAGTTTAATCTTCAAGAAAATTATACACATATGGTAAGTCATTTAAGACACCTTGGGCTTCAGTTAAATTTTTCATGATGAAACAGCCAGCCAAATTTTACCATAATGTCATATTCCTGTTACCAGGCCCTCAACCAAATTTTTTCATGATGTGACTATCATATTAACCGGATCCAGAGGTTTAATGAAAAGAGCCAACTAGTTTTATTTTGGAAAGGACAGCATACAAAATTAATTTACACAAAAATAATATGAATTAATAATTGTTGAAAAGAATTAGAATAGAAATAGAGGAGAAGTTTAGTAAGAGAAAAATTAAGATACTAATTTTTTTTTGGTAGAAGCTTTATAAATGTAACAATGGTTTAATATATATATTTTACAAATATAGTATTGGTTTAATTTTTATGTAAATAGATATATTCTGAGTGAGAGTCTAATATCTCATGAAGGGAAGACATAAGTTCAAGTTTCATGATTAACACTTCTTGCATTTTTTCTTTTCTTTTTCTTTTTAAACAGTTAGGTGGTGTACAGCCTCACATTATACCCAACCAACCAGATGGAACATTCGACGTCAGTGAAATACCTGCCCGGGTTAGAGATGAGGATGTACATTGTCCACGAACAGCCCTCGTGTGCATTGAAAATACCCAGAATGTTTGTGGTGGGAAAGTAATACCATTATCCTGGATAGATGAGGTAAGATTAATGATAGGAGAGATAGGTGAGAGTGGAGAGGATGGAAGGTGATACTTATCCTTGTTGCAACTGGAAAGGAGATATGGTATGCCAGGATGTGTGTTATTTTAAAGGGATGTTTGAAGAGAAAATGTGTCAAAGTAAAGGTAGTGGTGGCTGAGAAATTCCAATACAGCTGGTAACATTTAGAAACCAGTAGAGATAGAGTAAGGAATGGGTTTGTGGGGAATAGACAGGTTGGACTAAACCTAGCATCTGTTGATACATCTACTGGGGTAATACTAGTGCCTTTTGTCTGCCTTTTACTCATCCACATAAACTCTTAAATTGGTTCAGCATTTTGGGATTAATTTGATGGTTGTCAGCAGTGATTGAGTGAAAGTTAAGAAGGACTTTATAAGAATCCATAATTTGAAGATAAGCTAATGATTTGAATGTATGGTTCTTGATGTAAATGAAACAATGAATACATACCAAAATCACAGTTAAATAAAGGAATTAAAATAAAACCTCTTATTTCTTCAGGTTGGCAGCATAGCAACATCCATTGGTATTCCCCTTCACATGGATGGAGCGCGCCTGATGAATGCTGTGATTGCAAGTGGGGAAAGTGCTTCTCGGATATTGCAAGCCTGTGAAACTGCATCTATATGTCTGAGCAAGGGCTTAGGGACTCCTGTAGGATCCGTGATTGTGGGCAGTGAGGAGTTTATGTACAAGTAAGTTTATGTACAAGTTAGCTTATATACAAATTAATTTATGTTCAAGTTAGTTATTTACAAGTTGAAACTTTATGTGAAGAGACTGGATTACTGTTAGAACTGTATGTATATCTTCTGTAAGGAATGTATGCTGAAATATGTTTAAAACTTGTATTTCTTGTTCTTTGCATTTTGCTGTGAGAACATGTCTGATTATAAATTTAAGAACAGAAGAGGAAAATTACTTGTTTAAGTGCCATGTTTATCAGTTCTCTTGGATTTATGTTGCTTATTTTCACATCAATAAGGTACTGCATAAACTGTATTTTGATTATATCTTGGAATTTAGGGACATGTTCAAAAGGAAAGTTGTCAGTTGGAAAAGACAATCAGTTTTTCAAGATTTTTTTTTTTTTTATTATTTAGAATTAGCAGTTGTGTTAGGCAGCTTCTAGGTCTTTTTTAGATTTATGATAAATGTTACTTAATCTATGAATATCTCCAATAATTACTTTACCTCTAACTATATGATACTTTGCATTGAATTCCCAGTAAGTTTGTGCATGTTCAGTTGTTTATTAAAAAGGCTACATACACCTTTTGTTTGGCAGAGCATTACGTCTTCGTAAAGTTTTGGGAGGCGGTATGCGGCAAGCTGGAATGCTGGCGGCAGCAGGACTATATGCCATGGATAACATGATAGACCGTTTAGCAGATGACCATAGACATGCCCAGCAGCTGGCACAAGGTGAGGTACAAGTGCTCATTTGATGTTATTGGTTGGCTGCATCTAAGAAGTCCATTTGCAGGCCATTTTGATGTCTAAATGTTTTGCTTGGTGTTGAGTGACTAGTCAAATGCTGTCTCTAGAATGATTTTGCAGTCACGTATCCAATTTACTCATTGCATAACTCTTGAAGGAAGTATATAATTTATGAGAGAAGCATTGCTTAGGAGAGTACAGATTCTTTGTTTTTGGAGACATATGCAAAAGTTTGAAAATTATTTCAATAGAAGTTTGTGTAACCATTGATTTTATTTTG